AACCAAAATGTTTCCCTGCCTATCCAGGGGGTTGGACTCGATGTTAGGGTCGGAAGGGACCTCAATAGATCATCTATGAATCTATGAATATATTGTAAGGGGCTGGAAGGGACCTTGGAAGATTATTTGGTCCAGCCCCCTGCACAAGCAGGAAAGACAACTGGGGTCAGGTGATCCCAGCAATGTCCAGTCTCCTCTTGAAGATTTCCAGGGTAGGTGATTGCACCACCTCTGGAGGAAGCTTATTCCACAGTCTGGACACCCTAGTTGTGAAGTAGTTTTTCCTAATGTTGAGCCTGAAACGGTCTTCCAGGAGTTTGTGACCATTACTCCTAGTTTTCCCCAAAGGTGCCCTGGTGAACAGTTGTTCACTGAGCCCTTGATGTACACCTCTGATGTAGCGTTAAGCTACATTAGTAGTTGAAAACTGGAAAGCAGTTTAATCTAGTACCACTAGTAGTCTGGCAGATCACAAAGTTTTTAAGACCAACACAAATGTTTTCTCTTCATGGGGTTGGAGTCCTTGATTGATATAAAATATATTTTTATGTTTTTAAAAATCATTACTATTTTATTTACCAAGGGTAAATTTTGATCAGGACCTGAACATTAGTTCCATCTAAACCTCCACCTCCAACTAAGGTGTGGAGGTTTATAGGTGTGAAAGACACCCAGTGCCCTTCCTTAGGTAGTCACATGGCAGGTTTAGGTCTCTTATCTTTAAGGATCCTGTTCCATTTGAAATCAATGAATTTCAATCAATTCAATGAAAAATTCCATTGATTGAATGGCAGCAGGATTAGATCCTAAGGTACAGGAACAGCTTAGTCTTAGGTACTTCAGTGCAGCAAGATTTCTTTGTTTATTGCAGTTTACAGACATGTCTTATGCTGTCTGCTTACCTGCAAATATTTTAACAGTAAAAACAACTTCAACAGATTTACAGCCAAAACCCTGGTGAACCCCAAATGATACTCCCTTATTTTTCACCCATCTAATCATCCTTATGCAGTTTTCCCAGCAAATGCCTGAGAGCACATCAACTTCACAGTATGATATGAAAGTCAACACATTATTTAATACTTCTTTCCTTAACCAAGAGTTAATGCTACATCATTAACAATATTTTATACAATTGTTATCTATAGAGTTATGTTTCTTCAGAATTGCAAAAAACATGAAATATTTTGCATAATTACTTTAGCTATTTTTAGGTTTGGATGTAAAAAGATTTGGAACAATAATTGTTGCAGAATAACACATGATGTTTCTTTTTCATTTAACAGCAAAGAAGAAATATTGGCAACATCTGATGATGACATATGGAATAATTCAAGGACTTCAGGTACAACACCCAATTTAATTAGTTCTTCCTTACTGCACATGTTAATTAAAAATAGATAATGAAATAAACAATCCAAGTATTCAAATATATTTGTGTTAACTCTTCAGGTGCAAATATCCCAGAAATTGTTTATTCGCAAGAGGAGGACAAAGACATAGAACCAATTAACAAAAATGTAAAAGATACAAGTGTGAAATACGATGAAGGTGATAATGAAGATAATGAAAAAGAATTAGAGTTGCTGGTAAGTGTTACAATTACGTCTTCCATACTAGATCATATAAATCCATTTATGCTTCAAAGCCAGTGAAATGTCCCCTTTTAAACTGAGCTGGCTGATGTACTAATTTACAAATGTAAAACCTTGTTCTGAATTTTCATTGCATCTCCATCTGAATCAACAACAGAAGGTACTTTGATTTTAGTATACTGCATTAATTTCTTGTGGTCTCAAATTAATGACATCTCTCTCCTACTTCTTTAGCAGGGTCTGTCTTTAAATTACAGTTTGGAAGAATTAGAAGAGTAACATTTGAAAGATCTCTCTTCCTAGTGTCTGCTGAAGAGTATATACTTAACATAAACATTTTATATTTGGTAAAATTCCTATATTAATGGTGTTGCTAGGATCTTGCATTTCTTACAGGTTAACAATGTAACCCACCACATAAACAAAATGCCAATTTCCATAATTTTAATAGGACAAATTATATCATTATCACAGTAGACTTTTCTATATCTGTATTTAGTATTAATTTGTTATAATACATTTCACACTCAATGAACACTTAAATTACTTTTTTTTCCTTTGGTTTGGCTTGCATTTTTCAGCATGGAGAAAGAAATGGCAATAAATGAGACATATACATCAATTTATTATTCTTGGTGCTGGTTCTGAGCTTATATCATTTGGTTACATAGATTCATAATCATAGATTATAATGGCTATCACCTGTGAAAGTGTGAATGCTGAATCAGACAAGAAAGGAAGATGAGTGCCCCTCTGTCTTTTTGATAAGGAAAAAGAGAATGACTTCCTCACACTTAAATATGAAATTTTCTTAGCTCTAAGTTGCAGAAAATTCAAAGTTGTCACCTATAGTGGGACCTCTCACCACCTGAAAGTCAACATCTCCATATTTTTTAAAGATTGAACATGCATTTTAAAAGGGCCATAAAAATCACATACTTTTCTCAATTTGCCCTGCTACAATGAGCTGGATCAAATATAACGATCTGTTTATAAATTACAGGGATTGCCCGTACAATAAATGAATGGGGGGAGATGTAATTTAGATGTTAATTTGCACTCTGCACTCTTTAATGAATTAAACAATGAAGGTTTATAATAGATGGAAATACAACCAAATCTTTGAAACCCACAGGCATTGGCTCACAAGACAGCTGTGCAGTTGACAAGTAACATGAGCCTTATGTGAGAAGAAGGGGAAATCGTAAGATTTGCATATAATTATTGAGATCATGCAAATGTCAGTTATGAGGAGGGAAAAAAAACACAGGCATCTCACTGTTAAATCCTGACAGTTGGCATCACCGAAGAGCTCAAATACATTTGAGCACCAGTTGGCAGAGGGTCATTAAAACAGAATTTGCAGAGACATTAGCTCCCTCACTTTTCTTTGAGTGACGTTTTACTATTAATAGTTTGCAGAGGCTTTGCAGAAAACATATTAATAAGAGAAACTGTAATGGGGTATCTACAGCAAGTGTAAATGTAAAAAGGGGTGCCCAAGAAACTATCCTCTAATTGATCAGCGTGGAGCTATCATTGTGAGTATCCTAAAGTGAGAAGAGAGTGCAATGACAAGCAGGCATAGTTGAATAATACAATATGATATTTGGGAGCTTGGAAGGAGAGTGATTAGTTTCTAGCCTTTTACTTCACTAATCTCATTTCCAACTTATGCCTTACTATATTGTCTAAAAACATTCTGGTTTGAAGGCTGCAAAAGGTCCCAAAGAGAAATGAAGCAAAGATAATCCTTACAGTATTTGTCTGTGTGCAAATGTGTCTTTGTTTTACTGGACAATATCGTATGTTACCAGGCTTTGATATAGTGTATCAATTCTCTCACTTACAAAAACCCCAAAAAACTAGAACTGAATGTGCAGTGAATGAATTAACCTCCCATTTAGAGCATGGTCTCTTTAGATTTCATTTGTATAAAATGCACTTGCAGCTTACTGAACTCATGAATAAAAAGAGAGTTCTTAATTCTGTTTTATTTCATGCTCCTTTCAGCGTCACTATAAAGCTCATTACATATGTTAAAAAATACATACAATGCAAATTTTGCAAACGGTTCAGAACATGTTTCCATCAAAGCTTTGTTACTGAAAACAAAACTTTCCATAACGACATCCTGCCTTATTCATTTAGCATATTTTTATAAAGCTTTTTTTGATCATTTTTTTCTATTCTATTGTTTCAGCTAAATCAGCACTTCACAGGAGCTAGAATTACTTCTTCCAGAGATGAAAGGAATTTATACACAACAGAGCCAGTTAATTTTCCAAATGAAGCCCAAGGACTGGAGAATAAGCTAACCCTTATTGAAACCAGCACCGACTTGCTTAGGCAGCCTGTGCCTATCAGTTCCTCCTCAGAAAATATTTTACAAGAGTTAGAAGAATTACATGATAACAAAAAGTATTCTATAGGATATAATTATAGTCAGCCATCAGCACAGGAACTTACTGCAGGCTCTGTAAACATTAGTGAGCAGGCTTTGGAATGCACTGATACCGCCACCCTTTTATCGCAGGAATATTTGCCTGGAACAAAGCAAAATGAGACTATCGGTACTCCTGATATTGTATCAAGCAGACAAGAAATGAGCTATGTGGATGTTTCAAAAGGTGAAACAGATAGCGCCTCAGGAAGTAAGATGACGGAGAGATTATTCATCAGTGAAGATGATGCTTATATCTATAAAGAGACCTATGAAACGAGAACAGAAGCAACTTCTGCAGAGCATGATAAACCAATGCAATTAAGTGCAGGTGCAACAGAAACACTGGATGACAATGCTAATCCAGCTGTAGATCAACACATGGTACAGATGTCTTCCCAAACTCTAGATTCATTGTTTGCAGACACTGATAAAAGTGAAGGAAAAGTCAATATGACTGAAAGCAAAGACCAGGTGCATGTAAGAACAGATTTATATGCTGACATTTTTGCACATTCTGAAACACAAGCCACAGAGTTGCTATCAACTTTGGACAACAAACATGAAGACAATCCTTCAAAAGCGGATGACCGGATTTGTTCCCATATAGCTGATAAAAGGAAGGCTGCAGGCTCTTGTGAAGTCACAGAGCTTACATGGGCAAGAGACAGAGGACACTCAGGCAACAAAAGCAGAAGAAAAGAAATCTCAAGCTACGTGGAAGAAAATCAAAGGGAGGAGGGATATAGTGAATTAAGTGATGACTTCAGGAGAATAGACAGTGGTTATCCAGATGCCACTCAGTGTAGAGTGACTATTATTCCCACAAGTGCTATGTCATTAAACCCAGATGATGTGTCCAATACAAGGGAAAATGGTCATAAAGTTGTTGATGAAAGACTGTATAGTCAATGTTATTTTCCAACAAATAGCAATGTTTTGGAGACAGATCCCTGTCAACCTAAATCTGTGAGTATCCTTTCAGAGGATAAGAACAGAGTGCTACCTGAAAATCAAAGTGGAAGTGTTTCAGAAAGGCAACTGGTAGAAAGAGAGTGTGATGCAAATAGATCAGAACATATTAAAGAACAAAGAGATGGTAAAGTTACGTGGGGAATGTGGGATAATTCTGGGTGTGCAAATGTTACTCCCAGAGAAGAATTGTTTACCTGCCATGAGACGGTGGGATTTGAAAAGTCTTCTGTATCTGAGCATGATATTACACGGGAAGCAGAAGCAAGTACAGCTTTTATAATTAAAACAACATCAGAAAGTGCTCCAGAAAAAATGTCTGCTAGTGAAAAAGCAGTAATTGCTAAGCTACCTCAAGAGACTGCACTAAGTGACAGGCCCACAGAGGAAAAGGAAACAGCGTTTGATACACATGAAGGGAGAAATGATGGTTCACATTATACTCTTTGTCAACGCAACACAGTGGGTGTATTATATGACACTGAATTTGAAAAGAAATCAGTTTTAGATATTTATAATGCACGCGAACATGAAACACTGCAAGGAGAAGCGATGTCTGTATGCAATATCAGAGAAAGACTTGCCAAAGCAGAACATGACATTGGAAATATTCCACCTGCAGAGAAAACATTATGGGCTTCTGCTACAGAAGAAGAGAGTTTGGAACAGGATTTACATTCAGAAGAGTCATCTAAATCCCCCATAAATCCCCAGCTGTCTTTGTACAGTAAGGAGATTGAAGAGCTTCAAAAGGAGGAAAGCATTTTTGAAACACATTCCCATTTGGGTGCTAAAAATGAAACCGAAATGCCACCTTCTGATACAAATATCATATCTAGTTACCGTTACAAAAACTCTTCAGTGACATCTTCTGAAGAGTCTATTAAGATAATTGCTGCTGAAGCAGAAAATACAGGGCATCCAAATACAGACTCTGCATTCAAACCACTTCCCAATGTTTCTGCTGAATCAGGATATGATTTCAATCCCACAAGTGAAATGACACATATTAATAAAACTCTCTCTCCTGAAGTTGAACACAAAGAAGCTCTTCAGAGTTCAGATCTGTTGACTTCTAGCAATGGAAGAGAAAAGAATATAAGCCAGTGTTTCCATCAAACAGAGTTCAGACAAGATAAGTCATTAGGGCCGATGATTTTAATTAGTGAGCCTATTGAAGAAGTTGAAGAGAGAGCCTCTCAATCTGAAGGTTTAATAACTGAGGGAAAAATATTAAACTGGCGTGATGGCTCCCAGCATGGAAGGCAGCTCGTTTCTGATTCTGCTGATATTTCTGACCAGAAAAATGAAGCACATAGTTTATCTAGTGAGTCTCTAGTTCTAAAGCGTATCAGTCACAGAATCTTCTTTTTTCTTTTCTTTGTTGTATTTGTTGTAACGCTCTGTCATTATGATTTAACGGTTTGTTTTGCACTCTATCTGTTTTCCTTGTACTGGCTATACTGGGCTGGAGGAAGACGCAAGGAGTCTGTAAAGAAGGAGTAACATCAAGGTTCATTGTCTAAAATTGTCTCCTGTACTTAAAATTTAAGGTTAATACTCCTCAGCCCCTCAAAAGCATTTTAACTGTTAGATGGGAATATTCAATGTCAAAACCACAGCAAGTTTCTTCTTGAAGCACCTTTTAAAAAAACAATGCATATGAAGTTCATGCCTTCGTATAAGTAATTATTCTATATAGGACCATTATATTTGGATCATTAATGCCTATATGAATATGAGATCTGAAGCACATCACGTTAAAATTAAGTACAGCTGCTGCTTCTTACCAGGCTATGAAGATGCAATGCTTCATATCTCTTCAACACTTAAAAACACCATTTTGTTCCATTTTTTTTTTGTAGTAAAGCTTACATTTTTTTCTGAACATTTTTCTAAGGTTTTGTATAGTAGTTAACACAGAGAATGGCATTATGGTATTTGAATACTGACACTGCAACTGATAATCTATTTTGAGAGATGAAAACTGTTTGTAGACTAAATAGTTCTTTCAAATTTTTATTTCATTGTTTTGAGGTAGTGCAATAATAATCATCATTATTGACAAATGTCAAGCTTTGACTCCAGTAACATTTTGTAACTTTGGCAGGCTAGTTGACCTGCTTCCATACCACAAGGTGTAAGAGACTGAAGGATACACCTGTGAGCCCATTATCACTCACTTCCACAAACGTTCATAGGTGGGTTGTTTTCAAGTGATGTTTATATATTTGCAAATGATGACTAGAGAATTTCATTGGATTTCAGATATTCATATCTACAAAGCACGGAATAAAAAAGGATTTGAATGCTTTGATTGTGTTCAGAACTGGCTACACTGCCTTTTTTATATAAGGGTTTTTAACTAGGTTTTATTATTCAACAGCAGAAAAGCCTAAAAGGAAAACATGGGGCATGATCCCAGCATTCAATAAGTTGGTTTTGTGCTGCAGATTAGCCCCGAGTCTACCCTGATGAGACAGATGGGAGAATTCCACTATAAGGGGCATGCTGTGGAGTTCACTGGCTCTAAGCCACTCTTGTCCAGTTTAGCAGCAATCCACCAGTATGTCACAAAAAGAAAGGAGCATCTGGAGCACGCTGCACTCTTACAATTTGGACCCCAGAAAAGTTCAGTGAAAAGGGGACACTGCAGCCAAGCATAATGTAACATCCCCCCTGAGACTACACTATGTTACTGGAGTCCCAGAGACTGAGAAAGGAGAAGAGTGGCTCTGAGCACTCCTCTGTCTTTCACCTCTGCACAGCTGAGGACAGGGCCGTGGTGAAATTATATAGTGGCTGTAAAAGATATAGGTGCAATATATGAATAAGCTAGATAATCAAAATGACATGACCATTATTTGCTTAGCACTGAAGCAGATTTAGCAGGTGGCTAAAGACTGTTTACATAATTCAGGATGTTGAAAGACCCTGCTACAGGAGTGACCCTAACACTCCTGTTCTCCAAAAGGGCAAAAATGCAGCATCATGTAAACGATGCATTCTGTGGGGTGGAGATATACGTGAAAACCTATTTCTGGCTAGATGCATGGACTGTTTTGGACAGTAATCTGAGTTGGTGATATTAGTGGTATCTAGAGTGATATCCACTTTGTGTGGCTGGTATCCACTTTGTGTGGCTGGCAGAAAAAGGTTGTCACACTTGCCCAGAATCTCAATGGTATTTAGGTGATCAAATCCCATTGAAATAATTGGAATAAATCCAATAAAGGATTTAGTTGCCTAACTCATATTTTGTGATGTAAAAACCCCTCTGAGCTGCCACCTACCCCTGAAGTCACCTAAAATCCATAGACATCGTACTCTCTGACCCTAAAATTTCCCAGGTACTCAGAGCTGTACCTCTTTGCCTAACCAGAATTGCATCAGTCTGCAGAATTCATGTCTAGTTCATGTGTAAACCCCACTGGGATCCAGAAAGTAGGCATTCACCCACTTAAGTAACTGAGGGGCCCAATATCATATGTGTTCTCAGAGTACAGGTAATACACATATGTTAGGATTGTGCTTCTCACAAATATGGACATGGCTGTCTTCTAGTAAGAAGTCAGGTGTGGTAGCAATGGTGCTTTTCACATTTTATATAAAATTCTAGTGGGAGATTTAGGTTATAAGTCCTCCACAGCCTAAGAGGGTTCAAATTCATATCTTTCATCTGGACAAATGAGAAAGGAGAATACCTAACTTACTAGGTAGAGGCCAGGCTGGGACAGGGACACTCTCAGTTCTTCCTGTGGAAGACATGCCACTGTGCAGCAATAAAAAGGCAAGATTCACTGGGTTATAGACAGCATTGTTTTCTAGTCTAGTGGTTAGGGCAGTTACCTGAGAGGAAACTATTTCTTTATCACCTGCCTATTTAATTTGAAATACAGAGACAGTCTTTAAATTAGGGACCAGATCTAGGTCTTCCCCATCAAAGTGAGTACATGAGCCACTAGGCTACAGAGCCATGCCCCCACTTGTACTCTCTTTCTGCCCAGTTAATCAAGCACTCTGTTGCCCACATTTCCAACAGGTGCAATAGCCGGGTATTCTTTTCAGAATAACCTGTAGTCTGTTGGCTAGGGAACTCTTCTGGGAGGCTGGAGATGTGTGCTTGAATCTTCTCAGGCTGAGTAGAGAAGTGAATCCATATCTACCACTCCTGGAGCTGTGTAGTAAGGAGTAGGCTATTGTGTAAAAAGTGACCTCTCCCCTCACCCTGTGTCCTTAAGGAAAAAGGAGGGAATCCCAATTAGTTCTTTAAAAAATGGCTGTAGCTAACAACCTTCAAGAGAGGGTCCAGAGCTATAGATCTTACGTAGCCAGTGGGGCCTCCTTGCAACTCTCAGTTGGATGCTTAACTCTTGAAGAAGGGTGGTATTTCTAATACAGCCCTGCGCTTAGCCTTATACCTTTTGTGGCTTCCATCTCACAGTACTGGCAGCTTTGGATACGCTTCTGAGACAAATCCCATGTGTTGGATATGGAGCAAGTGCCTAATCCAGGATTCTGGTTTCCAGACAGCAAGAGCCTAACACAGGCACAGTATAAAATTGACTGCTGCCCCTCAATTTTAGGTCCCCATAGCCCCCTTTTTGGATCTAGCCCTAAGCACCTAAACACCTTTGAGTGTCTGGGCCACAGTCCATATTGAAAATATACAGATGGATTCCAGCCATAAGGGAATGAGGCTAGCTTGGTTAAGGTGATTACAGAGTATTGAGGGCCTGTCAGGGTGTGCACTCTGGAGAAGCTTTTGCTCATTGGTTTGACCTAGCAGTCAGGACATCCTGGAACAATGGGGAAACATTGGTGTGGTAAGCACCTTGTGTTTAATTTAGTGACTGCATGTGGTTTCTTTCATTTATTTTAACTCAAATTCTTTGTTTAGTTGTTCTACACTCAGTCTTAGGTCATCTGGCTGATGATGGTGAGAAAAGGGAAAGGAGGAGAATGGTGGGCCTGTGCTTAAGTGAGGAAGAAAGCACAGGGACTACATCCCTAGATCAGGATTTGAGGAACGGCCAGATAAAATTATGGAGAGAAGAGGTATTTGCAGAAAAGAACAGATAAGATGAATAAATATGTGTGGACTTGAGCTGAACAGATGTGATCTACTTTGTATGGATATTCACTCAAAAGAAAAAAGTATACTACAAATTTGTATGTTATCATATATCTTAAACAATTAACTGGAGATCAACTAAATTATATTTTAATTTTTCTGTCTATTTCTATTATAAATACATACAGTAAGCTAACTCTAAATGGCTTTATTCCTGAATCCAATGGGTTAAGAATTTCTAAATCTGCCATTTTACCATGTACAAACATTCTGAGTTGGAATTTAGGATAAATATTTGAATGCTAGAATAAGCATAGTTTCATCTAAATACAAGTGGAATGCTGTTAGCATTTCTCATATTTGAACTGGGATTTCTGCATTCTATATTTAAGATGTTTAGTCAGGAGATCATATCTTATGATTGCAAAACATAAGTCTAGATTGATCTGTGAGCACAGCTGCTGAACTGTTACTTATGCACTTAAAACAACAAAGCAACTCATTTTGTCTTTTGTATTAAACATTTGATAAGAGATCCTTTAAAAATCCTCTTATCTTTATTTGTAGTATAAAAACAGTGCCCTTATAATATCGGAAAAACATTCAACTTTATGTTTCTACTTATTTCAATGAAGAAATCATTTTTGGCTATAAAATGTTGCTTTTCCCCAGTGATTCACTTTTAATTTGTCCAATACTTCTGATAGCTTGCTTCTTGTTAGCCAGTAATGGTTACATCTCCCAACAAAGCAAAATAGATGGTATGGTTTTTTATAGGTGAGTCTATGATTATGAGAGGCCCAACACCAATCTAATATAGGGATTAAGCTATATTTTATCATGAAAGTCTTTCCTTACTCTATCAGGAATACAAGGTAGGGTATACCCCCTGGCTGCTGCCTAAGCTATACATGTAATGGATAAATATGTCTTTTTATTGCAGCATTTCTATACTGCTGGAACTAAAATTCTGGAAAAAAAAATCAAGGGAGGTTTGTATCAGGGCACTTGGTTGTTAGGAGATAATGAGGCTAAACCTTACCAGTAATGTCAAAAATGCATTGTGTGGTTGATTGCTGGTTGCCATCAGGGAACTTCTGGCTCTGCAGTATATAGATTGCAGACAGCAGAGGGACATGGCACAGACCAGTGACTGCAGGCTTCTGAGGAGCTATTTTTGTTCATCACAATAGAGGTGACTGCACATGCACACCTCCTGCTGCAGCCTTTGCTTTCACAGACCCAGCAATATGCACAGAGTTTCTGTGTGGGTGGGAGGGATGGGGAGTTTCTGAGTATGGCTGCAAGGAGACGGTGTTGGGGCTAGATTCACTAAAGGAGTCAGAAAAGTCAATGAATGGCCTTGTTGACAATGCTTGCCACATGTAATGTTCAGGCACCTAGCTAGCTGTTTGGAAACCACAACTCTTTAGTTAGGCACCTAACCTCTATATACATTGTGCAAAGAGTATAAGGCACCTCTGAAAGGGATTCACAACAGTCAGCAGGAGAAGTGGGGATCTGCCCCAGGTAGTCAATGGGAAATACAGAGGTAGGTTTAAATCCTGTCCCTCTCAAGTGCAAGATTTAAGAGATGTCTAACTCTAGTTTGCAAGGAGGCACTGATGTCAGACTGTGATTTATATCCTAGAACGTATCCTGGAATTAAGCTTGCAAATCATTCCTTTTGAAAACAGAGCAGGGGTCACACATTTCCTATAAAGCATGACTGACAGATGGTTGTGCTTCCACTTTCTATACAATAGCTTTGTGACTAAAGCATGTCAGTTGTCTTTTGTGCACCTCAGTATGTGGTTTTAAGGTTAGTGGTAGATTTCCTGAGTTGGAAGGTTATGTTTGTGGGAGAGGTAGAATAGGAAGGGTAGGGGTGGAGTTGGGATGCTATTCTGACCTTGGGAGAGTTCATTTGGTTGTGGTCCTGAGCTAAGGCTATTGGTTCAGCTTGGTAGGAAAAGGGGAATTTTCAGACTAAACCTGCTTGGGGGTTGAACAGTGTTTCTCAGATAATGTGCTGAAGAGAACTGAAGGTTCTTAGCTGGTGGTAATGGTGTAGACTGACAGAAAGGGAGGAAAGGAGTGACCTGATGAATAAGCCTATAGGTGAATTAAGTTGTGTGTCTGAGTGGGAGGTTGTAATGTAAGAGCTAGACTGGAGGTGTGAATAGTTCCAAGAAAAAATATCACACCAAAAATAGCCAATTGTAAGGTTTCTGAGCTGATTTCTCTAATTATGTGACTATAGTTCAGACAAAAACTATAAGTAGAGTATTAGGTCTATAGATGTAAGCTGCAGAAATTCAAGTACATGATAATGCACTAGAACACTTTTATCCATTACCAGTTCATGGAGATGTAGCAGAAAATGTCTTGGTTGGCTTCCTCTCCCTAATGTTTGGTAGGCAGAGAATCTGGCGTCAGCACTGTTGTCCAGGCAGTGCTCATAAACACTATAAAATTCCTGCAGAGGACTTTCTCTGGGAGTGGCCACAGAGCTGCTCTATGGGTGGCTACTAAGGTCCATTTTCACTGAGGTAAAGCCAAAAGACCACAATTCTTAGCTGCCCTGAGTGTGTGGGGGCTAGTGTGTACAAGTTTACATTCCTCCCATCCTGAGGTTGCTCTTTGTTGGCATGGCATCCTAACATAATTAAGACCATTGTTATGGCTACTCTAATTTGTGCCAACTGTCAATAGCTACAGGAGGAGATTAAGATCTCCAGGAGCCACTGGGACATATGGGAGTACTTGGCACGCTCCCTTTTACCTGACTACAGAGAAGGAACAGTATAAGAGCTGCTACAGTACCTCTGCCCCTCATGATGATTTATTTCCTCTCCCCTGGAGGAAATCTTTCTAGCATTAATTGAACTGCACTAATGCAGAAGAAGACTAGGAAGAAATAGACTGCTCTGGAATGCTGTATACAATGTCAGTGGGAGATGATGCCCCTTCCTATATTTCAGCAAGGAGAATTAGAACTTTTCTGCTGATGGAAAGTCCAGCAGATATTGAGGACATCAGCTTGATCACTGTAGACCATAAAGGGAAATATCTTCCATTCCCAAGGCAGTTAGGAGATACGAATAGCTTAACTAGGCCCCGACAAGTAGGGCAACAGCCCGAAGCACCAACTAGGAAGGGGTGTCAGAATTGCCCCCAGGAGTCTTTGCCATGGCAGGAATAGCCCTGCATTGCCATGCCAAGCCAGCAGTGTTCCTTGGGGGCAGGAGATGAGAACAGTGAGTAGAATGGTGCTGCCCCCCAGCCTCCCTGGGGGGGGTTCCCAGAGCAGGCACAGCCCTGCACCTAATTTGTATGCATCACAGGGGCAGGGGGTGAATGGGGCACCAGAGTTGGCTCCCAGGGAGATTGCTGTCACCTGAGAACAGTTGATACTGCTACACTCACCCCAAGTCTACTGGTCAATAGGGCTGTGCGGAGCTTCAACCCCTGATTTGATTCAGCAGAGATTCGGTGGCCAAATCTCCAAATCCAAATTGAATCAGGAGACCCTTCAATCTTGCCAAATCAAATTGGAACCCTCCAAATTGACTTAGAGAGATTTGGAAAGATTTGGAGATTTGGACATAGACACAGCTTTAAATGCTTTTTCTACATACCTCAAGGTAGCAGGTGGCTTGTGAATGCTGTGATGCTGGGTGGATGGAGCATCCCACAGAAGCATGGGGGGCTCCCCAGCACACTCCACAGCAGACCGAGTACTCCCTGGATCAGCGACTGGTGCCTCCTGGGTCTGGGGGGGACACCCAGGGTCCCCCTGTGGCTGCTCACCGAGCTTGGAAGGGGGGGGGGGGGGGGCCCACACGCTCCCCAGTGGACCCAGAAGTGGAACAAAAGCACTTCCAGTCCACTTTTGGGTTCGCTGCCGAGCATGCGGGGGGCCCCTTGCACTCCTGTGGGATGCTCCATCTGCCCCAGCATCGCAGCATTCACAAGCCATGCCTGGTACCTTGAGGTATGTAGAAAAAACATATACAGCTGTGCCTATGACTGAATTGCTGATTCTCTGAATCAGCATTGAATCTTCAGATTTGGATTCGGCTGAATTGAATTGGGGACAGTGATCTGAATCAATGAATTGAATGACTGTCCCCGATTCAGGCCAAATCTGAATCTGAATTAAGTATGACCCACTTCACACACCCCTACTGGTCAACATACCTCCACTACCCCCATACCTTAATGCTGGGTGTTCATTGAGCTTGCTAAGCCTCTGGTAAATGCATTGACTAACCCCTGCATCTATATACACACTTTTTTGTGGAATGTCTGAATAAGCTTCTCATAGTCAGGCTACCTCTCTCCAAGCTGTCTCAGGGCACAGACTGTCTGTGGGAGAGAGTCAGAGGATCCAGCATTTGTGGATGAATTAAGAAGATGGTAAAAAGTTGTCAGAAGAGATGAGTTTCACTCCCTTTTTTAATTTCATTATACGCACTAGCTCATCTATCGGCAGCTTTAGTCAGGGTTGCATCGAGTAGACATCAACCACGGGAGCAAGTAGCTTGTTTACACTTTAGGATTTGGCTCTTCAACTTATAAGTTATTTCCTAGGAGACCATATAATTTGACTAATGATTTAATCTGTCTCTTTCTATACAATCCTTTATCCAGAGTATGTTTCTTTCACTGTTAGTTATAGAACAATATATATGGACACTGTAAAGTATAAATTACTTTTTTACACAGCTCCATGATGTATTTTTAGTGCAGAGTGATACCGTTGTATTGTTCAAAGTTTATGGTGAACTTAGAAAGAACCTTAAAACTGAAAGAGAGAGAGAGAGAGAGGAAGAAAGAGAGACAGCAAGCTTGGGTGTGTACTAGTGTGTGCTAGAAGTGAAAAGGTAATAGAATAAAAAAGTGGAGTATTAACTAATTCTAAATTCAGAATGTGCTTGTGATTAATATAACACAGCTCTCTAATATTAACTCTACTCCAGAACAGTCCACAAAGCCAGTCAAGCCTGTTTTTTTTTTTCCCTCTGGTGATAATAATAATGATGAAGGCACTAGTAATAGAAATCTGATTGACGAAGAACTGTATTCTCTGTGATAAAGGAGATGCTTCACTTTTTGTCAGACAGTCTACAGTAGATTCACTGCTGTAAGCAGAGACTGCTTAGATGGAATGGCCAGTATGTTCTAAAAGCCAACTTTAGGTTGGGATACTACTTCCACATTTCACGTATTCCACTCATGTGACAGATATTGCCCACTTTACCACTTATGTCTTGAAGCACTTACATTTGGTTTTCCTATGCTAAAATGCATAATAAACTGCAAGTATAGTAACACATTACTCATTTGATAATGTATAACTTGGTGGTGCAAAGAAATGTGTAGATAAAACAACTTGTTATCTTGAAATTATCATACATAGTGAGAGATAAAGTGCAAGAAATCCAACACTAGCAACTGCTGCTATGACCTTTCAGACTAGCTGACCTGGTCAAACTTACACCTGTAGCTGTACATCAACTTTTAGTGCAGACATACTATGTTAGAAGCAAACAGAGAGGTTTTTTTCTGAATGCGTGTTGTCTGATAGTGCATACAATGATAGTGTGACTTGTCATGTACTGAATATAACCTCCTTTGAATCCTGCAAAACTAAGGATCCTGCAAATTCAATAAACATTAACTATAAATTAAATGAATTAAAATTGTAATGTCATTAATTCTAATTTTTATGAAGTGTTGCACCATGTTGCATTGTGCAGGAATAGGGCTGTTTGACTAACAGTCTGACTATCAATAATTTGAAATAAATCTGAACTTCTAGCATACTGATTTTTATAATAGCTTTCAAACAAGTGAAAATCCTTTCTGCAATACTTAGCACTAGAGCCCATGAAAGATTTATGTGCCTATAAGTTAGAAGTGGAATCCAAAATCCTGTATTAGGTACCTGTGGTCTTTGTACAGTGGATGGGGAGAGATAGGTGCCTCAGAATGGGAATTAAAAAAGACAGCATGTGGAGCAGGAAGCTACCTAGAGCAGTAGTTTTTAACCTGTGGTCCATGGACCCTTGGGGGTGTGCAGATTAAGTCTAAGGGGTCCACAAAAGGTGACTATGATCAATCAAAAGTATGAGAATACTCACATTTACAATTCAAAAGTGTCTGCACCTCCATTTGAAATTTCAAGAGGGGTTCACACCTCCATTCCACTTTTTTTCGGGGTCTGCAAATGAAAA